CACAATAGAGTACCATTTTCAGAAAATCTTCTATATCATGCAGTCTTGTACTCTCCCTTTTTAGCAGACCTTCAAAATTTTACCAGACCACAGTCAATTGATTAGGTAAGATCTAGAAAGATCTAGAAAGCACCTCAAACTTGGGTATTCAAACTTTTATTTGGAATCAAAACAAACTTGAGTTGACGCAAGATTACGAGAGTGATGTCTCCCCCATACTTGTCAACTCTCTAAGTACCTCTCAGGAAAGGTTTGTTTGCTGATTTCCCAAGTTCTTAGTAGCAGAAGGTCCTATCCCCAGAAGAGTTGTGGAAGAATTCCCTGACGTCACTCATCCATCGGTATTTAGACCCTTCAGATCCTTGCTGACTTGTAGATGCCACGTCATTGTTAACTGAGGATAAGCTAGTGATAAGGTTATGGAGTCAGTTTGTGATAACTGTCCTGCTGATCTTTGTGAGGTACTTTAACCATTAACATTTATAAAACCCCAATAAACATAAACAAGAAGCATCTGCAAACATTTACAATTTATCTTTTTCGTCGCCACTGATGACTATGGGGCCGGGCATACTTCACGCAATTTCAGTCGCGACGCGATTTGGCAATATTCCAACTGTCCGTAACTCATTGTAAGCACAATTTGAATGTACAGAAGATAGCGTATTTTATCAACCCACTCAAGTCATACACACCATGCATGTGCAGTTTGCTAATGTTGCATCTGAAGAGTTCCGGCAAATTGCCAAATCGCGTCGCGACTGAAATCGCGTGAAGTATGCCCGGCCCTTATCATAAATGCTCTTATAGTCGACATTGGCGATATGCATCGATAGTTGCAACTTTATCCCAATCCGGGATCAATTTTTCTGCGGAAAAATGCTGTGAGCAAACTTGCAATGAATTTTTCAGGGATTCCGCACTGACGGTGAGATCAGAGCAATCAATATGCGACTTTCTTGCTATTTCGTTTACCAGCATTGAATAAACCAGTTATGGTGTTTTAGTACCATACTTTAATGACGTTAAATAGCATAAAGTAGGAAACTAATCCAAAGGGGTGAGTCTGATTGATTCGAACTATGATTAGAACTTCACAGGAACATGCGCTTGCTTTCGTTCCCCCCCCCCCCCTTTTAGGAAAGCGTTTAGCAAATAATAAGCACGGATTTAGAAACACCGTTCAGAGATGCGTCTAAAAGTAGTTATCTTATCAAGGACGGCCACGACCTCTGATTATCCTTTCCTCATCAGATAGAATGACAATTCATATACTGGTCCCTTACGAGCCAGAGCCACCACACTGTAAAACCTACGGTAAGTTCTAGTATATATTTAACACTAATGGCTCCCATCAGGGCCCGGCACAGATGGTCTGGAAGCAGGCTGGACTTCGTTTTTGAAGCAAACAGCAAAGAGGATATCGTTTTTAACGAGTCGGAACCGAGCACCAAGAATAATCGCCGTTTAGTCGAACACAAGCTTTTCGGACAGGTTATCGCACGATTGACATGCTCAATCGTGTATGGCGAAAAGCGCGCGCGATTTGAAAGCAAGGCTCAAATAAAGAAATTGCTTGTTTGCAGCGCACACAGAAGCATATGACACCAAAATTGAACTGTATGTATAGAAAATTATTTGCGAAAGGATTATGTAAAAAGATTTGAAAACTTATGTGAAGTAACACCTTTTCCAAAATTAGATCGTCTCCAGACGGCCACCAGACGATCTGAGATCGTCTGGAGCATATATTTTCGTCACTTCACATAAGTTTCGGGGATCTTTCTAGCATGGACGGATTCCCTGGTCAAAAATCTATCCCTGAGCATGGAGACATTTTCATATCATTGCCTTTTCGTTGTTTTTTGCTTTCATTTCTTCTCGCTTTCTTAAATATCGCGCTCTAATGCCAAAGTCTTGTGCATGCGTAGTATTCAGCACCAATTTGGATCACTCTTGTCTTACGTCTTTTCTTTCAGACTAGTAAATCTTTCTTGTTTTCATCTTTTCCTAAGCAGGTAGGTCAAAGGGGACTTCGTAAAACTTCCGAAAGTCAGGGGAGACTTCGTTTTCTGAAACCCTAGAAGTTGACTCGTGCCGGGCCCTGGCTCCCATATAGGACTTATCAAATTAAGTATCGTTTGCACCAGCATCTCCATCTTCGCGCTGGGCTCTGCGTCTCTTCTGTGGAACCCTAATCACTTCCAGTCGATTGAGGTTCCGCCTTTCCCAGGCTCCTCCTGGGAAAGTACTCAGAGAGCATGTCCCGAGGAAGAGACGCAGAGTCCAGTGCGAAAATGGAAACGCTGGTGCAAATGACACTCAATTTGGTAACCCCTATATGTAAACTATTTCAACGATTAACGTGACAGTGCTCTCACTTGGCAGAGCAAATGTTATATTGTGGGACTACGGTTTCCACTGCTCTCGTATGAAATCGTCGACCGCACGGCTGGCCGTAGATTGCGGACACGCGCGAGCGGCTGAAATGTCACGCGAGCCTGTGCAATGGCGATCTGTATTAATACAAGCACATGACCACACGGCGCATGCTCTGCAATCTACGACCGCGTGGGGTCGACAGTTGACGGTACAGTCTGTCTCAATCGCAATGTCCCAGTTCGATCCATGCACTCGCAAGCGCTGCGCGAATACCTCGCGCGGAGCTCGCGGACGTTTGGTTTGAACCATAGGTGCGATAGGGGGAGCCGGACCCCCTCTCCGGGTGAAGGGGGTCTCTGCTACTCCCATCCTTGTAAGGTGAAGAGGGTAAGTGAGCCCTACAAGCAAAATGCCCCAACAAGTTACATACATTCGAAAGCCGAGGTCATGTAGAATCGACATAGACGTCGACTTTTTTCCAGGTCTTCTGTGCCGCGAGATATAAGGCATTTTATGTACTTCATCTATCAACTGATTTTGTGTCTTCACTTTCTGCTCCACAAATGAATGCTACGAGAAAGTCAACGGTCTACGTTTATTAATGAAGAGTTGCTCTGTAACATAGATAGATAAACAGCAGTGAATAGGTCTTCGTTTGGCAGAAATCTGCTGTAGTAAATGGACATGATTTCAACTAAATTGGTGTATCTCCCAGTAGAGGGAGGAGGGGGGGGGGGGGCTAGAAAGAAGCCGACGGTCTACGTCGAATCCCCTTTTTCTGAGCTTTCGAATGGTTTATAGACTGCTGGGCGAAAAAACTTGCCAGTTTTCAAAAATGGGGTGGAGATGTTTACTATTAGCTTGCTCCACCCAGCTCCGCCAATGTATTGGCTTTTATCGGTCACCGGGGCAAGTGCTTATTAGAGCGGGGAAGCAGAAAAGCCCTAACATGCTTTAGACCGTTCGAAAGCTGAGATCATGGAGAATCGATATTGACTGTCTCTTTTTTCATAACTTCTCTGTGAAGCGAGATACGAGCAATTCTACGGGTGCCGGGTGAAGGGTGGGTGAGACTCTTATAATGAGAGTTCTCAACGTTCTTTTACAGTGGTAAAAAGCTTTCACCTGAGAACCCGCATTACAAAAATCTCATCCACCCTTCACCCGGCATTTTTAACGAACCCCAGGCAAGCTATATATTCTCTGAAAGCGGAGGACGAGACGGTTCCAACGGAGACTATTTCCTTGTGCAAGTTGTTCATCTATAGAAGTTATAAATTTTTTATATTAAAAACTCGAAAATCTCCAGAAATCACTGGGACACCCTTCACCCAGGCATTTTTTTCAAAGACTTCAAGCTATACATCCTCGGAAAGCGGAGGATATTAACCATTTCGGCGTACAATATCTTCGTTATGAATTTTTTATCTAAAAGTTCGTAAATATTTGGAAATCACTACCCACAAGCTTCGCCAGGCACTCTTTTGAAATGACTCCAGACAAACTCCCAGACAAACTATATAATTCCTGAAAGCAAAAAAAAACGTGGTTCTGAAAACAATTTCCTTGCTACGTTGCTGTTCATCTACAGAAGCCATAAAAAATTTCACAAATTTCTTTCAAAAATTTGTGAATGCTCAAAAATTGTCTACCTTTTCTCGAAACAGGTGTTCTTGCATACACATCTTCTAATCTATGGTATTTTCGAAAACAGACAGGATGTTTCCAATCCTACTTCAACCTTCACAAACAAACAGCAAATGATGGTAGAGAATTAAATATGATAAAACGTTGATTGGGGAGAATGATGAAAGAACACCATCACTCCCCCCCCCCCTCGGTCGACATTTTACAATTTCTCGATCAAGTGAAACCCCTTCACCATGGAGGGGCTGTGACCACTGTGATCCCCTTCACCCTGGAGGAGTCATTCTCACCTTATCGCACCTATGCCCGCTTCTATGCACTGGTGGGCGCCAGACTAAGCGACTATTTTGTTCAGCTGCAGAAGGCGCTTACAATTAACTTTAAATTGCTGCCGGACAGCGCAAAATCGTGGCAATCCTGCGCAGATTTAACGTTAATTCTGCGCGCCTTCTGCAGCCGAACAAAATATTCGCTTAGTCTGACGCCTACCATTGGTCTCAAAACCAGACAAGTAATCCAGTAAACATTCCAAGGATTCCACTGATCGTAATTGCTAACAGCTTTCACCATCACAGAGAAAGCGCCAGACTCTTGTAAGATTCCACGTTCTTTGACCGAAATTGGAGTATTCATTATCTCGAAAGACAACGAGGAAGCAATGCGCTTGTTCGCGACCGCTTAACTAGCAGCATAAGGTTTCCCACTCGTTTGCAATACGAGAGCATAGAAAAATGTCTGGAATCACGATTTCGGGAATTGAGCGTCAAAAAAGGCAAGACCATAAAAGAGAGGACGGGGATGGGGAGAAAAATCTTCGAATAGTCATAGGATCTCTTACTGACGCAGAATTTAGCTTGTTTTACCTTTCAGCACAGTCATGACAGCCTTGAAGTCAGACGAGAGGCAACGATTTATGTAACAGCAAATAATAAAGAAAAATGATGACCATGGAACAATCAGGAAGTGCAATTTTAACACAGTAAATACAGAAAATAACAAAATAATGAGAAGTAAATGCTAAACTTCTGGCCCTTCACCACCTGGAACAAGCATTGTAATGTGGTTTCCATTCAATAAGATGGTATCCAGTTTTGTTACCCTTTTGCCGTCAGGGGTCTGCTCATACTCAACCTGAAACGTATTCGTTCATGACCTGCGTAAGAAATAAATGTGATGAAAGCCAAAAACTCACTACATCTTCCAACACCATGTTCACATAATCGTCAAAGCCCATCAACGTTCCTACTATCTCTTTTTCACCTAGAAAGATACTACTTCAGATAAACGTAAATCAATAGAATGCTAAGGCGATAACATTCATTTTTATGAAGATCAAGAAATAAATATAACACCTCTAACATCTCTCTGGAGTAACTACCCTGAAAATCACGGATATACAGTACGCTCAAAATATGGTGTTTTTTCGGTTTCGCCACATACTCTGGGACCAGCGCTCAAAGGACGAGCTTATGCGCCGGTGATTTAATCATAATCTATGCATAGGGTATTCTTGGACAAAGGTGGATGCCCATACGAAATACATGCAGCGAATGCGACGCGCAAATGGTTATTTGATTACTGTGTACATGCCGAGCACTCCAGCGTGACGTGTGCTAATCCGCAGCGCTCGTGCACGCTTGGCGACGATAACCATACTATACCATATATAACCATGTACTTAAAGTGTCTAGGCAAAAACTCGATTTTGAGATTTTCTGCTTAGCCCGGCCTGTTCGCTACGCTGAATCCGATGCACATTGGAGAGTGCGAAGACGGCGAAATACGGCTCTAACACAGGAGGGAAATAAGCAGGTGGGCGGGATCCTCCCCACTGTAAATTTACTCTACTCTACTTACTTTAAATCCCAGCTTCCGGAGCAATCTTCTCGCTTCCGATTTCAAGTCAATCATTCGCACTTCGCCGGTAGCGACGTTAGGACGCCTAGCGAAATCGAGAAGACCGCTTCGGAAGCTGGGAGCGTGAATTCACAGTGGGCAGACCCCGCCCACTTACTGTTCCCCTCCCGCGCTAGAGCCCTTTTTTGCCTTTTTCGCGCTTTCCAGCGTGGATTTTCGGATCCAACATGGCGAATAGGCCCGTATAAGCACAAAATCTCAAAATCGAGTTTTCGCTCGGATACTGCCTTCAGTGGAGCTATGTAAACTGAAAAAAATCACAAATAAGCAAAATCAAACATTTTGAGATGCCATTTATCCATTTAGAAAAAACATCTTACCTTTCATAATGACCCAGATTCGCGAACCAATGCATTTGTCGACAAGTTCAAGCGGTAACAATGTTGATGGATTCGTTGTGGTGGAAGCCATTGCTGATAATTTGAAGTGCTTTAAACTTTATTGTGATTCAAATAGATAATCTGATGCACAATAATTAACCGAGCGATTTTCAATCTAGAGTCTGGATTTTCCGCTAGATAGTGTAGCAGTGCCATAATTCTGAGATAAAACTGGCTACAGTTGATGTTAATTACGTACTCCCTTTCGCTTGGGAACTACGCAAAGGTCCTGCGTGCATCTTGCTTAAAGCAGTGTCCAGGCCAAATTTAACCCGCTCCGCTTAGTGCCGATCCTGATAGAACCAGGAGAGGGCATCTGCGTGGGTCCGGCTCTCAAATGTTGTCTCTGAATGGAGATAATGGGCCTGGAACAGCCAAAGCGCTACCAAGCCCCGCCCAGATCCTATCAAGCTCCGCCCACACATGTACTGGAAGCCGTCGGCGCCCTCAAGACAAAGTCCCGATGAATCGGCTTTTTTGAGGGTTTTGGACAACTTGGACTTCATAACTGTAATCAGAGCCACGGGAAGACCCCGGAAAGACAAAAACATAGGGAGGGGGGAGGACGAAATTTTTGGGCGGACGCTGCCTCTAAGCAAACAGCTAGCGAACATGAAAAACAGCTTGTTTGAAAACAGCTCCCGATCGACAATGTATAGTCTGTACTGCATCATCGTAGAACACCAGAAGAAAGTCTCGAAGGCACATACAGCCAAGTCTTGATGGGTCACACTCTCCAGCCGTTTTTTCGGCAACCTTTTTTGTTGTTTACAACGGCACACAATAGGTTTGGATGGAAATTCGTCCAAAGTCCGCGCTCAGAAGGTTAGAAGAAATGCCTTATTTAGGCATTACCTCCGCGGAGTTCTAGTCCTCACGCGATGTACAGTAGTATAGCGAAAGGACCAGCATTCCGCGAAGGCGGTGCCTAATTGAAGTAGTCGTTCCTCTAGCCAGCTCATCCCCTGCGAATATCCTTCAAATGGCTATGCAGCATACCAACCATCTTTGCCGTTATCGAATCAGTCATGCAAATAGTGAACAGTCATAAAGTGCGCGGTAAGTGCAACGAAGCGGTTTGAGATCGCACACTATCTCCAAAAAATGGATGTTTTATTTGCTGTATAAGCTTCGACTCGATTGCATTTGTTCATCACAAGAAAAAAAACAAATTTTCTCTCTATGACGAGGCAAAAGCGAAATGTTGTGGTATCAATCGCTCAGACGATCCATAGTGATATAACCTGAATGTAAGCTCATACGATATATTTTATTCTCGAATAACATTCTTCACAGAAAAACAAGCACAAAATCAATGGACGAGAACAGAAAGCATTAGTGTATCATTGCCACTATTATAGGAAAGCTATCAGATATTCCACTGCTACTTTTACAAAAAGCATTTCGTAATGTTAAACTACTATTACAGTAGACAGGCTACTTCATAGAAAAAAATTTGAAGTACCAGCACAAACTCTACAGATAATCCTACAAAGCCAACAAAATAGACAGAATATATCATTATTATTGTATGAACAAAAATCGCAATGAACAGAGTGCACCGTGAACACCAAGGCCAAATATTTTTCTCTGGAAATTGACGCTCAGAGAGGAATTGAAAGGAGACATATATCATACAACAGGGAGTTCCGGGGAAAAGTTAGATTAGGGCTGAACTCAAATAAACTATAATAGTCGACATCAATCAACAGCGACATCAGCATTATTTATAGTGAACATCATGAACACACTGTGGACATTTGGCATACACGCAGTTGCAAGATTACTAAAACGATTGCATTTGGCAAAGATAGAGGAGTGAATATGATTTAACAAGTTACTAACCTCTACTGTTCCTCGTCTTCATCAGGTGCAGCAAAGCCTTCCTCTGTTTCATACAATATTTCAAGAATTCGCGATACTTCAACTGTACCGATAGACTCATTATCTTGGCAGACAACCTAGACGAGCCCAATGTAAAAACTCGAGAAAAAAAACACAAAGAACTAAGCGAAGACTGTATGACATACCTCGATTTGTCGCAACTTGTTGAAATAAAAGTCTCGTTCCTTCTCCAAACTACTCATCACTGCATCGCTCTCACCCAGCTGACGAGTGAGCTGAAAATAAGCACCAATGAGGGTGATAAGTAGGAATATGCAAACAAGTGAATGCAGTACTAGAGCATAAAAACGCTGAGCTTTTGCAACGGTAGGCGATGTGCAATCTTCACTCACTGATAATTTTATTTATGTAAAATCAATGCAGTGACACCCCAGTCAGTAGCCACAGCCATGATTAACGGCAAATTACTTTATCAATAATTTCTAGGCTGCTACGTATGTAGAAAGAAAAACTGCAACAGCTGCTATTATTAGCTAAAGCATACCTAACCTTGCCTAATATTATCAAGCAATTCAGAATACTAGCGGTAGTATACAGACTATGGGCAACAAGAACAATATTAATGGATCAGAAAATATTGAACTCACATCATCAACCTCCTCTTTGAGTTGCTTCAATTGCATTGCATCTACAGAGGGCGCGGCGGCAGGACGAGCTGGTGTAGCGGCTGGCTGAAATCAAAACTGGGATAACGACCGACAATAAATCTGTCTTCCCATTGAATTATTTCAATGCAGCATATCAACCACAGCTTCCAAAAAAACTATTTTGTCGCCTGAGCATTACAGTAAACCTTATAGTACAAAAACTTCAACTCACGATAACCTAACAAAATCAATGATTCATATCATGCTTGAAAAGGGTGAAAAGAAAGTAAGAAACGAAGCATGGAAAAAGATTCGAGTTCTGAATCTTACCTTGGTCATTACATTGTTATTACTCCTGGCAGGTGCAGGTGCTGGTTGACGATGAGTTGCCGAAGCAGGACGTGGTTTTGCCGGTGTAGCGTTCGTGTGCGTCGTGTTGTGTGTAGCGTTGATGGAATAGTTCGATGCGTTTCGGGATGGTGGGCCGGTTCGCCTATAATGCAGGAAACGCCTCATTGACGCTCATTATCCATTCATAGTTGACAAGGGATGCCAAAAAAGTGATGTAGGCAATTTAGAGGGTGATGGAAAGTTGCAATACGATATGACAGCCGCGTGCAGCATCGAGATTTCAAAAAAGTAAAAGCAAAATAATCGTTAAGAATCGAAATAAACGCTAAAGTTCAAATAAAAAATCGCAACCTACGTCACTCCAGTACTATTAGTTCGTGTGGGCATCTGCATTCGTGTTGCTGTTGCAGGTTTTCCGGGTCCAGCAGGTGCTTCTGCTGGCAAAGGTTCACCTCCACGTGCATCTAATGGATTATACTCATGCCCGTCGTAGTTAGCATCAAAGAATTTTTTGAACCATTGCAGAAATTCGAAATTGTCCTGAAAATGAATTCTGCTGAGACTTCGAGAAACAACTGGATCAGAAAAGCGATTAAACAAGAATTAGTTAGCATGCAAAAAAAGCAGAATGATCCTTCGAAATTCTCACCTGGAACTTTCCCTTGATGAGTCTGTCCACTGGAACGATTTTCTCCACACCAAGAGTCTTCCATGATGTTTGCACGATTTTCCAGTTCCCTAGCCAGTCAAGCTCAAGATTGGAATTCCACTTCACTTTTCGCAACGGAATCGACCCAGGAAATAAGAAGTCGGTGAACTAAAGTGCAATCTCAATTAGGGCAGCAGAAAAATTGAATTACTGGAGGAATCATGGACATTATAAATTTGACCCTGTGAGAGCAATATAAAGTGCAGTAGTAAAATTGGCTAAACTGCACAAATTTGGGAATGAAGTATCGCCCCAAAGAATGTTAGTCACATTCTTTGAGGTTTCGGTTAGAAATACATTCATCTTGCGAAAGATCATGCTACAGCAATACATCTTTCCATGAAAAAGCTGATGGGGTCATTCGGAAAGTGATGATGTCTTTTCAGGCGTGACAGGTGGACACAGTATGGCGCTGAATCGTTCGTAAAGTGCACTTGTAGCCGCATACTTCTGAGCTGAGAAAATCCGCTATGAGTGGATGCTGTGAAAAACTACTCCAACGAAAAACCAAAAAAGTATCAGAAACTGTTTCACAGCAATCTCACTGATGACCCGGAAGCAAACACTGAATCATTTAAGTGTCGTAGCCATAACGACAAAAAATCTACCTGTACTTTTTACTCAAAAAATTTTAGAATTACCACACCATTTGGGAGAAATATGGTATAAGAATGCTCTACTCACGAAACCGCATAGCAAAACAGACATAAAAGGTGCTAAAGCCCTTTTTGTGTTTTTTAACTACTGTAGTTTTTGCTAAACATACTCTACCAGTACGCATCTTGTTTTGTGCGCAAATCAACGAGCTCGCCTTTTGTGCACGGTAATTGAAGTGACAAACAGGGAGCCTTTCCTCCTCTAAACTGGCGTTGAGAAGTTTACAGTTGAAAGTTTAAACGCGAACCGAAATTTCTAAACATTTGTTTCTTAGACAATGGATTTCATGATATTAGTTCCGTGTCCTAATCCCATCAGACTCTCTTCTACGCTTTGCGTTATAAATTTGTTACTTAAAAAATGATGAGCCCTGGGGTAAAGCTTTGTTGTGATAAAGCTTGCTACAGTTCAATTTCTACGGATATTAATGCAAATGAAAAATATACAGGAATAAAACACACGTATCTAGAAAAAAAAAAACAAAAAAACATATCGGAACAAAATTCAGTTTGTAATCTAACCTGCGCGTATCCAGCTCCAGTGTGCAACTGCTCGATTTTCGTGAAATTGCTTTGCAAGCAATCGTTCACCCACATCAGCATCTCATGTCTGGATAGATTTTCCGTCGTCGCCGACGTTGCATAAACGTTCACAACTGCCGCCATCCGCTACGTTTTGGACAACCTAGGATATTTTGCTTAAAAAAAGCTGTTTAGAGCAGCTGACGATTTAGCCCAGACGTCCACTGGACCAAGATAAATGCACAGCAGACATAGCCAAAAGGAAACAACTGAACAGAACAACAACGCTATGGCGATGTTTGAGACTGAACGAAAAATGCAGTATGTCTAGAAGTGCAATAGATCAACGGGTGGATGTATATATATTCAGGAAAAATCGATCATTTTCGAAATAGGTTAAGTCGATACTTTTGCCGATAGTTAAACAAAATTTGCACTCCGCAAAGGGGTACTAGAAGAGAAGATGTCCAGCAACTCAATGAGGAACGAGAAAAGAAGTCACATGCAAGCTTCCTCACTAAAAGCTTCGAGAACAAAAACCTTCACTAACGAAATTTGACGCTGCCATCGCCTCAGACGCAACTACAGACATTACACAGTAGAGCACGACTGCTTGCTTACAAAGGTAGGTGCCAGAGGTAGGTGCCAGAGTAAGCGAATATTTTGTTCAAGTTGGGGTCCCGCAGAACTGGCATCACTAATCATTGTGGCATAATGCCAACTTGGCGTTGTGCCACAATGATTAGTAACGCCAGTTCTGCGCGGGACCCCAACTTGAACAAAATATTCGCTTACTCTGGCACCTACCAAACCATTCGTAACAGTATCATTCATCCTTGGGTCAGACTGAATGACTCGGAACCGCTTTGCATGGTCAAAACATGTCATGTTAACAAGTTTATACTTGTATCTGATTTAGGGGGGTGTAGGACGTTTCGCACGACCGCACTGTTTTCCACACAGGACCACCGCGTGCGACACACCCTGCGGCGGCTTTTGCCTAAGCAAAACAGGGGGAGGGAAGATTTGCGGCGTGCATTACGTGTTAAGACAGGTCAAATCCAGTGAGACTCTGGAGACCTCCGTGCGAAAAGACCGTCTCCCGATTTAGGGACCCGTCGTACTTCGCCGAAAAAAGCTCGAAAGCACTCAAAAAAGCTCGAAAAAGCCCAAAAGCGCCAGAAGAGCCGGAACCCCCCTTCCGCGCGGTTTTGGCGCTAAGGCATGTGCGTTGATTTCGCAACCGAGTCTTTTTGGTTCATTTTCTGTCGTCTGCACAACAAAATATGTCAAAATTCTAACAAAAATTCGTTTCTGCGTTGAGGCTCTTTCTGGCGCTTTCGGACTTTCTCGGGCTTTTTTAGGCTTTTTTGAGCGCTTTTGGGCTTTTTTGGGCTAAAAGGCCAAAAGCGCTCAAAACAGCCCGAGCCTTTTTATGACAAGCCCCTCAGGATTGTTTTGACACTTGTAAACAGGAAAAGAAAGGTTCAAGTTTGTCTGCCTAAAGCGTGCAAAGCGGTATCGAGTCTCTTACAAGGAAAGGATACCTGGTGACCGTGGCCTTTTGAAATGGAACGCACACCATTGAATGCATCTTGAAGCGCTGACTCTAAATCTTCATTATCTGCTGTGCACTCTTCCGAAAGAAATTATGAACATTTATTTTTACCAAAATTTGCAGTTTTTGATGCAGGATCCACCAATATCGTTAGAATGTTTGCTTACGCACTACAAAAGAGCGTACAGATAAAGTAAAGTTCCACGTTAAGCTCAGGAAAACTGTCACCAACATTAGAGTCTAAAAAGCACGGATAATGATGATTTTGACTTCCTAAGTCTCGCAAAATCAATATGGAAAAAAGTCCATAACTTCTTCAGAGAGTCGCACAGCAGATAATGAACATAGATTTAGAATCAGCGTTCCAAGACGCGCCTACTGGTATACATTTCATTGCAAAAAGTTACGCACCAACTATCCTTCCCTCGTTAGTCTATTAGAGACCTTTTTCAATATGATAACTGTTCCAGACACATCTAGTTCCCTTAATGGATGATATGTGCTCAGGGTCCGGCACCAATGGTTTGGGGTCATACTGCACTTCATTTTTGGAGTCAGAAGCAACGGGGACATCATTTTTATGAGGTCCTGGAGGAAGCGCCAAAAAAAACACGACGAACATGTCAGGTTTCACGAGTTGAACGTGTTCTTTCGCAAGCGCGCGAATTTCAAATGCAAGACTCAAACAAACAAATGGCTTGTTTACAGCGCACAAACAATCACATGGCTCCGAATTTGGGCTATGTGTATACAACATTACTCCAAATTATGTTATGTAAAAAGTTCCCAAAACTTATGTGTCCTAATATCCGTTCTCGGATTTGTTGGTTTCTAGACCAACTACCAAACCAACTGGGTTGGTTCGGAGCATAAATATCGGGAGTTCACATAAGTTTTGGACCTTTTTGATTTGGACGATTAGAACGGTCAAAAATCTATCATATAGTGAAGAGAGCGGATCAAAACCGTTGCCTCTTCCCTTTTTTGAGTCAAAAGTAGTATAATTTTACGCGTCGATAGATATCGCGCTCCAATCACTTGCGGTGTCCTTTGAAATATGTGGCGAAAAATGCACTACAGATTTGGTTGGCCTAGGAGATTTTCGACATTCCCAGCATCAAAAAGGTGCTATATGGCAGAGCCAATCGACTCAAAATGTTTTCTTTTTGCTTTTTTGTTATATTACATACCACAAAATGCGATTTTTTCGCTTTTTTGTTGCTATTTTGGTTGAATAAGGGTTTCCCTACTGATTTTCACATCGAGAGGACTTCGTAAATTTTCGCGAAGTCACGGGGGACTTCGTCTCCTAAAAACTTCCAAACCAACGCGTGCCGGACCCTGTATGTGCTTTGTGCAGCTTTGTCTTCATGCAAAGTGAATCTACTATTGATCTTCTGCCTCACGCCATCATTCCTCAACAGAGAAAAAACGCTTGTTTGCACAAATATGAGAAGGGGTGGTGATCTGTGAGTTCAATCATCTCCCGCTACTGTACTGTCATTCTACCATATCCCTACCATGCCCCACAAGATGGGTTAACATCCGATGCAGCATGTTCGCCGTGAAAAGGTTGGAAAACCGTCGAAGAGTAACTTCAGGATACTTTATTTTCTTCTTTCTTGTCAGTAATGCGAATTAGCGTAATGACTAAAGGCTACTGCATGACGAAGGCGCAGAAGCGGTATCAATTAAGCTGGCGCGAACGCGACGCGCGCGTATCCTCACCATTGCAAATCCTGCGCCTTATGCGCTCTGCGGCTAATGAAGCCGCGTTCGCCCCCGAAGACACTGCGCCTTTGTCATGCAGCAGCCTATACATATAATTTAGTAGATCCTTTATTGCCCCACACGACGTCATTGACAACTGTGCGGAATACACTGCCATGGTGATGCCAACAGCATGCGCGTAAAAGATGTCCGAGCGCACAATCTCAAATTTTGTGCCTAAGGAACAATTTTACGCGCAACTTTTTCGCAACAAAACCACATAGGCGTTTCAAACTGCAATCCCTGCAGCATTGCAGTCACATTAGGGCGGGCAATAAATATCGACTGCCGCTGCTGCAGGACTGCAGTATGAAACAACTGTAAGCGTCAATTCTTATACAATCGCTCGGAACCCTCCGAGAAACACTTGAAATTTCGGGGTGTTCCGGGGAACACTCTAAGTTACTGGATCTGCCAGGTAAGGCGGAGCGTGGGAGGGCCGCTCGCGGTGAGGCAGGAGGATCCAGGCACAGGATCTCCGGGGACTAAGAAAAGTGCCGAGATCTGCGAATAAGTGGGGACATCCGAGCCTCTAGAACTTACGGGGAAATTATCAAGCAGCTACTAACCATTAAGCTGATACGCAGCTTGCGCCAACTTCAAAAGTAGGCTCTTGTCGTTTTTACCATGCTTCAAATAGTTTTTCAACACTTTTTTTCCGCGTCTTTGTTTTTGCGTTATTGGTTTCTACGTCGCTTTTAATTCTTCTTATTTAGTAGAACATTGCGATTGCAATATACTTAACCAGCACCACCTCGAAGGAACTGTAGGCTGCTGCATGACGAAGGCGCAATAGCTTTGGTGCGATCGCGGCTTTTTTTAGCCGCAGAGCGCATGAGGCGCAGGAGCTACAACGGTGGAAATACGCTCGCCGACAAATCACAATTTTCATATAATGTTTTTGTTTATACATTGTTCATTATTTTTGTTCGCATGTCTTTCTGCATTGAATTCAGTTTCTCATATCTCTATCTCACAGAGTTGGCTCTTGATCTCCGCAATCTTTTTGATTCTTTCTTCTTGCATTCCTACTCCACTTTTTCAAGCTAATAAACCACTTCGAGTTTCTTGTAAGATTGTTGTCTGTCGTCAAATTCGAATCTTGCTGAAATCCTCTACCCTTATCGTGCGCTCATTTGCACTTACTCCAAATTATAACTGCGGCATTACAGTCTCCGAAGAAGTTATTTTCCCCAAAAACCCTGTATTTGCAACTGAGGATCGACCAGAGAATGGGACCCCAAAAATCAGCACTTTGCGTTGCAGTCTTACATTGGACTCAAACACTCATAATAATCGAGAAATATTCTGTATATACAAGTGTGCAGTAAAAGAATTGAGATGCTGATCACGCTAAATAATGTAGTAGAAACCGTAACAATTGAAACTGGACAGGCATATATGGTAAAGTAGTCAGCATAAAATAATAGCATTCACAGACAACTCTCGAACATTCGAACACATCTCATGGAGGAGACCTGAACAAACAGACACGAAAATGCTCGGATAAGCAGAGTCTGCACAACAAAATTTGATTAGCCGAAATGACGGACGCGTGCGGGCAAGGCTAATACAGACTGATAAGAACTGATCGCCGCAAGAAAAGAAATTAGCCCATCTGGTGTTTTCAATTGTAGTTCTCACATGGTTCCGAAAATGCAGCAAAATGATCACCGATTAACGCCTATACATGATTTTATAGTTATAAACCGTCACCACCAGTCATCATTGCGGACATAAAAATGCACATCGCAGAGGAAATGACACGATTTTTAGTGCGGTAGAGTGAGTCACTCTAGGAAGTGCATTTGGGCTGCGATCTGCACTTGAGTGCATATGTGATTAGTATG